GAGAGAACAGCTCAGAACTACAGGGGGAGAACAGCTCAGAACTACAGGAGGGAGAACTACAGGGGGTGAACAGCTCAGAACTATAGGGTGGGAGAACTACAGGGGGAGAACAGTTCAGAACTACAGGGTGGGAGAATTACAGGGTAAAGAACAGCTCAGAACTACAGGGGAGAACAGCTCAGAACTACAGGAGGGAGAACTACAGGGGGTGAACAGCTCAGAACTACAGGGTGGGAGAACTACAGGGGGAGAACAGTTCAGAACTACAGGAGGGAGAACTACAGGGGAGAGAACAGCTCAGAACTACAGGGGGAGAACAGCTCAGAACTACAGGAGGGAGAACTACAGGGGGAGAACAGCTCAGAACTACAGGGTGGGAGAACTACAGGGGGAGAACAGTTCAGAACTACAGGAGGAAGAACTACAGGGGGAGAACAGCCCAGAACTACAGGAGGGAGAAATACAGGGGGAGAACAGCTTGACAGAAGAACTACAGGGGAGAGAACGGGCACAAAGAAGCACTACTAGCAATTGTGTCCTTTACCCTCCTACATAATTTGAACATTTTTGTGGCTAACTCATTGAACAACATCTGAATTAAAATGTACGTCTAGTATTAAAAGATTCAGTAAGTAATTTTTTCATGTACGCTGTACACTGTAGTTAGTAAATGCAAATCAAACTTTTTCGATCAGCCGCGCGCTGAACCAGTGTTGCACTAGGTAAAAATTGTGTATATTTTGTTAATTTTTGAGTGTAAATTAATTTATTAATTTATCACAAATTATTTTATTATAATATAACCACTTATGTGAAATGGTTATTTTGACTTTAAATATTTGAACTAAATATGAATTGATTGTGGGTATAAAATTAAATTTGTTAAATTTGTTTTACTAGAACAGCTCAGAACTACAGGGGGGAGAACTACAGGGGAGAGAACATCTCAGAATAACTACAGGGGAAGAACAGCTCAGAACTACAGGGGGAGCACTACAGCGGAGAGAACATCTCAGAAGAACTACAGGGGAGAACAGCTCAGAAGAACTACAGGGGAGAGAACAGCTCAGAACTACAGGGGGGAGAACTACAGGGGGGAGAACATCTCAGAAGAACTACAGGGGGAGAACAGCTCAGAACTACAGGGGGAGCACTACAGCGGAGAGAACAGCTTAGAAGTACAGGAGGGAGATCTACGGGGGAGGGGGAACTACAGGGGGAACAGCTCAGAACTACAGGGGGAGAACTACAGGGGGGGAGAACAGCTCAGAACTACAGGGGGGGGGGGGAGAATTACAGGGGAGGGGGAGAACTACATGGGGGAACAGCTCAGAAGAAACTACAGGGAGGGGGGAGAATAGCTCAAAAGAACTACATGGGGAGAGAACAGCTCAGAACTACAGGAGGAAGAACTACAGGGGGAGAACAGCTCAGAACTACAGGGGGAGAACTACAGGGGGAGAACAGCTCAGAACTACAGGAGGGAGAACTACAGGGGGAGAACAGTTCCGAACTACAGGGGGAGCACTACAGGGGAGAGAACAGCTCAGAACTACAGGGAGGGAGATCTACAGGGGGAGAACAGTTCAGAACTACAGGGGGAGCACTTCAGGGGGAGAACAGCTCAGAACTACAGGGGGAGAACTACAGGGGGAGAACGGCTCAGAACTACAGGGGGAGCACTACAGGGGAGAGAACAGCTCAGAACTACAGGGAGGGAGAACTACAGGGGAGGGGTAACTACAGGGGGAACAGTTCAGAACTTCATGGGGGAACAGCTCAGAAGAAACTACAGGGAGGGGGGAGAATAGCTCAAAAGAACTACAGGGGGAGAACAGCTCAAAAGAACTACATGGAGAGAGAACAGCTCAGAACTACAGGGGGTGAATTACAGGGGGAGCAGCTCAGAAGTACTATAGGGGGAGAATTACAGGGGAGAGAACAGCTCAGAACTACAGGGAGAGAACAGCTCAGAACTACAGGAGGGAGAACTACAGAGGAGGGGGAACAGCTCAGAATTATGTAGTTCTAAGCTGTTCTCCCTCCTGTAGTTCTTCCTCAGGTGAGCTGTTCTCTCCCCTCTAGTTCTCCCCCTGTAGTTATCCCCCTGTAGTTCTGAGCTGTTCATAGTTTGACTGAAAAATAGAGATGCACATCCAAATTTTAGGGCGCGGTTGCCATGGAAATGTACAAAAAATGTGTTTTTTGCAATTTTTGACGAAAGTGAGCACTTTAGGCTATATGTTTATTAATAAGTCTCATATAAATGTGCTGATTCCGCATCTTTTAAGCCTAATTTTAGCTCTGTAGGTGCAATGGGTCCTGAGATATCGAATTTTTCCAGATTTCTGAGGTTCGCGAGCACGGTTGTCATGGAAACGGCTTGGGGAACAGCTAAATTTCCGAATTTTTCAAAAATAATTTTTTTGGTTACTATTTACGTCTATGGGGATGTACAAAAAACTTTCCAAGATGATCGGACGAAAAAGTGAAAATTCAGGTCAGTCTATTCTGTAGCATCTGAGTGGTATTTTATGCTACATTCCCTCAGCTTCAGCTTGGCTGAATGAGATATCGTTCATTCAAAATTGGGTAATTATAGGCCTGTCAAGGATTGCAGCCCAATTACGAGCTGATCAATTGCAGCTACTTGTGCCATATAAGGGATAACTGAGGTCACGTGACAGTCGGTCCTATCACGTGACTGCTGATCCTATCACGCGATCTTGATTCGTAAATCCTCGGGCACGCAATCACATTCGTAACGTGTCGTATGCCGACTAGTATCTAGTCGGCATACGACTACGTCACCAGAGCTCAAGCTACTTGATCAGGCCTTACTATACATAGAATAATATAATAGTGTATCGCGTGATCTGGTATCACCTTCAGAAACCTAGGAGGCAGCTGGGCCAGAAATTTGAAGGATTTTTTGTTAATGAATATCGAAGCGAAAATCATGTAACCCTGTGTTTTTGAGGACGCTGAACACGATAAAACTGGTTATAATTATCATACTCCATGGCAAATTGTTTTATAATGCACTAGGATGTCATAGATGTTATTATATGCCCATTATATGCTAAGTTAAGCGCCTGAGCGGCTTATCGGATGGCATTAGTCTCTCTGCCGAATCTCAGTAATTGTAAAAAATGACTCTTGTTCTTAGCTAATGATCGGGCTTTAATGAAGGAAAGATCTCGAGTTCAGAAGACGAAAGAAATTTTTCCAAATATTTGCTTAAGATCAACGAATACGGATATCAACCAATATCGAAAAGGACTACCAAGGATTGTATCGGGACTTCTATAAGCAGTATTCACGTCTTAATAGCGGTTTCAGGATGAACTAGCAGTATTTTAGGATTGTGTTAGGGCTACTTACCGGTAGGTTGACGCTCCTGTTATATGAATGGCTTTATATATTATAGTAAGATACGGTATCTTAGAACTTTAGAAGCCATAATAAGTTAATAAACCCCAATTGATATAATGTATCAATTTTAGATAAACTTGCAGGAACCCGTATAACCCTAAAATGGTGTCAAGACACAAGAGACTAAAAAAATTATTACCTATTTAATTCGTGTTTTTGACACCACTTGGGGGTCCAAATTCTGGGCTCTAAAACTCCTATTCCTTGGTAAATTTTTATTTTTTCATGCTGATTTGGAGGCCATTAAAGCATTTGACCCAGTCAAAAAAGTTTCAGTTGTATATCTTTTACAGTTTTTGCGGAAAGTTGCGTTAAAGTTGATACCGTGGTGTCAGTAAAATGGTACGGATCCATCCACAAATATCGTCTCGCTAAATATATACAATCGTTCGCGCAATACAATTACCACACACGCGCTGACCTTTGACCGGCATTAATTTCGGCTAGGAACGATATTTTTCCACGGGATCAAAAGCATCTGATAGATATTACTCCCCTCTATCAGAAACAACTAAAAAGTCGATTTTGAGAACATTTCCATGAAGACCCCCCCCCCCCCCTCCCTGTCCCCTTAATACAGTCAAGTCGGCTATAGACAATTGTCTTACACGTTATCAACATGTCCTAGCTAATAAAGGACGATGGGTTGAGCAAATTATTAATTATTAAGTATTTTATTGTATTATTATAATATTTATATACTTTTATTATATTACCTAAATATGCGAAAATTAAGTGGAAATTTCATTTGTCAAAAAAAATTAGAGCCATTTACATTCTACACACTATTTTCAACTCACCCTGTATAATAAGATATTGATATTGGTGAGCTTGGGCCAAAACTCGCCTATATCAGGGGGATTAATATAGATCGCAAATACATATTAAATTGATAACGGATTATAACTGCGAATTGATTAAACAACACGTGCACTTGAGTGGAAAATTTGAACATCAGGCGCTGAGAAAGTTATCTCCTGTAGAGCACAATTCTAGGAGTGAGGTGAGAAACTAAGCGAGTTAATTTTCCGAGCCTCGACTTGAAAAATCGTAATCGACAATTTGCTCTCCTTTTTGCCGTAATTATTGTCTTTGAAAATCATGTCTTCAGCCACAAAAGTACCATTGCCGAAGGATAGAGCTGGAGATAATTTTCCAAGAAACGCTCATGCAGATGAAAATTGTTCCCAATTTTCGACATATGATGACTTTTAGATTTTTTGAAAAATAGATTATCATGATCGTAAGTTATATGAAGAAGCCACTACTATGAAAATTACAAAGACATTGCTATACAAGTCCAGCTGTTTGTGGGTGACAAATAGTAACGTTACGCTACAAGCACTCGTAATTTTTATCATGCCAGTATTTCTGGTTAGAAATCGAACAGAAATAGAAAGATTACCTCTGCTAATATTAATGTAACTTGAAATCAATTTTTAAATTTCACTGGTAAGTGCGAGTCTTCGGAACTAGTGCGAAAATTGTCATTCGATAAGATCTCAAATTAGAAATGCATGTCCACATAATATTAGCAAACACAATAAAAACAAAGTGTTGCTTACTTACACTTCAATAAAAGCAGGGTCTGATCTGTTAAGAGAAGTAAGACTCTCAGTAACTGAAGAACTGAACATATTGTCAGCTGATGACATTGAATTTGACTGGAAAGATTTCTCGTTCTTGACGCTTACAATCCGCTCATCTCTTACAAGAAGTCTGTTGTTCTCTCTTTCCTCCGACATCGTCTTTGCTAGTCTTCCCTTTCTGACGTATCCCTTGCGGAACCGAGCCCTCTTTTCTGCCACTGTCATCTTCTTTTCCCCGTTACTGCTCGAACTATCGGTTCTCTCAGTTGGTGGATGGTTATTAGTATCAGATGAACCGTTCTCTCTCAGAGGAGAGAGCGGTGTAGTTGGACTGTCTCCATTTGCTTCTCTAGTCCTAGTCGAATCTAATAGAGATTGACTGATTTGGCTTGTTTCCGTAGGCTGATGTCTGGGATGTCGGATGAGTAGTTGAGAGTAACTGCTGTTGGAATTGTTTTTCTGATCAGAGTCTTGTTTGATGAATTTCTTCATTGCTATGTTCGTATCACAGTTTATATTTGCCTCCGGAATGATGTATATAACGTACATTTTCTGTCCATAGATAACACCCAGGATAGAATAGACGGCAATAATGATGCTCCAACATTGGTACATGATATTCTTCCGACTGCTGAGCATGATGTAGGTTGAGATTGTGGAGATGGTTAACACGATGATGACGAACATTACCAGACAGATATACCTTGCTTCGTTAAAGTTAGTGGGCAGTCTCCTGGTCTTATAGGCGAACCACAGTAGTTGCCAGTATCATGGCGCAAACATATCCAATCCACAAATAAACCAAATCCATTCTGTGTTCGTTGCACATCATGAAGTTGTTTTCGCCAACATCAAGACTGCACAGAGTTTTAACGTGCAGTGTTTGGTTGTTTACCTTTTCTTCGTGGTAGATGTGCAGTGCTAGACAGATACCTAACTGAATTGCTGCAAAGATGCCCACTAAAAGAATGTTATATTTTATGCTCATGATCATTTTTTGAAGTTGGCTAGTCAGCAGTGATCGTCTATTGAATATCACATTAATCCTGTTTGTACGAGCGAAGAGCACAGCTAAAGGTATGACAGTTCCCAAACCAATGATGTACCGTTGTAGTGGACACGTGGTGTCCCCAGGACCCGATACCATGAGAATAGGGGCTGTCAGGAGCACCATCAGACTCACCAACATGATGTAACATAACTGAGGAGACGAGGCTTTGACTATGGGTGTGCCGGAGTTCCTGATCAGAGTTACCATCACAAAGCCATTACAGAATATCCCAACTGAGCTGGCTACAAATACCGCCACGCTAAAAGAATCGCCGTTAAGAATGGAGAACTTCTCTACCTCTTTGGAAACACATGTTGATCTGTTGAGACTGGGTCGCAGACACGAAGAACATTCTTCACATTTTTCATGTCCCCGACTTCTGTTGACAATGCTGTTGGACGGGCATGTCTTACAAGAGAAACAACAGCGAGGAGATTTCTTCAGGAGGACTCGGTATTGGTCTATGGCACACGGGTCACTGCAAGTTGAAATAATTCCTCGTGGATATGACGTCATATCAGTTGCTAGCTTGAGTGTGTTACTCTTCCTTGGTAAGGTATACACCTTTACTCCCTCTTCTCCATATCTTGCCTTTGCTTCAGTTTTCAAGTGAAGATTCATATTTTTTCGTAATTTTCCGAAACTGAAGTCAGTATTCATTGCATCTGATGTGTTCAGTGCTTTATAAACAGCCCTCAAAGATGCAATGACCCCTCCAGCATATCCATAAACTTGAGACTCCTTGATCAAACTCCTTGCACGCTTGCATTTCTTCTCATCCAAGACTGAAAACTGATGGCATGATTCACCATAAAAATCGTCCGAGTGTATCAATGAGTTTGTATCTACGATCTCACCAAAGTCCGGAAACAGACCGATAAAATGGCCAGACAGGAGGTTATCGTATTTTTGTAAAATCTGAGTGTTTACCGACCAACCGTCTGGTGCTATATAAACGGTATCAGTTCTACCTGATCTCTTGAAATAATCCAGAACTCTGGTCGCATACTTTCCCTCCATCCACATGATAAGAACCTTCACTCTGTCCTCCAGGACTTTCAACTGAGCTTCTATATCGCCGATATCCATTTTAAACGTAACCATTTTAGTTGAAAACTGGAGACAACAGTTCTTCTCGACCTCATTATCCCTGCTCGGAATTTCCTCCAACCTTTTCTTGAGGAGCTCGTATCCAATACTTCCGTAGGTGTCAGCCGTGGCTAGTATTGCTACGTACCTCCATTCCATATGTTGGATGATCTCCACAATTCTATTCACCTGTAGCTGGTACTGGGGCGCCAGTTGATGGAGGTATTCCAACCTCTGGGGATCAGAGAAATTACTTCCAGTACTGTAGAGAAGCTGGGGTAACTCTAGCGCCGCAGCGATGTCCGCTACTGATTTACCCTCACGGGGAGTCCCCGGTCCAATGATTGCCACGTGATTCTTACACGTGTCACCGCCTGGACCACATGACTCAGTGTAACAAACCTCATCAACATTGCACTTTCTGGAGTTACAATCCTCCTGGAAGTTAAACAAACCGATTATACGTCCAGCGGCTATAGGGTCGTGGAAACTGTCACACAGTTCAAGTACAACACAGATGTTCTGAGGCGGTTCCAGGGAGTTTATAGCAACACGGAGTCCCACAAGGTCGAGCAGTCTGAAGTCCACAACGTTACACTTATCTCCAGAGAAACACTCTGTGAGAGGTACAATCGTGGTGATTACTACTTCCTGCCTGACTTCAGTTTCCCCAACACTTGTTGTCATGTTTGAGATAGGGTCTTGTATCCCACATGACTTATAGACGGTCTGACAGAATGTAGTGTGTTGCAATGCCCCGTACACACAGCAAACCGACAAGATGATGGGTGCTAGGCGGGCTAGTAACATTTTAGTGGTGCCATTTCAAACCTGAAAGAGAATGAACCCTACAGTGTACTGGAAAACAATTGTATAGGAAAAGAAAGCAACTTTATACACTACAACGGGGTCGATATATAGCTATTATTCGTAACGAATTAAAGTAGTGATTTTATAAGCGGAAAGTTGAGGTTCGGGTTAAAAACATGGTTAAATTCACCTTCTAATCGAACTGCAACATAAAAACTAGGCAAAGAAGCCCTCTGACGTCAAATACTACGACCGTTCGAAATGTAAAACTCATTTTATATCAAGGTAGCTCTCAAGTAATTTGCTAGGTCACGAGTAATTTGATTTCATGGTTCAACTACCAGTTAACAGCACACCGCTCCATCCCAGGGTTCAGCAATTTCATGATTATCATATCGTCCTGACAATCATCTGCCTGAATCGATCGAAATGGGGCGGGGTACTTTCATAAATATTCACAAAATTTAATGACGTTTGTAGACTAAGCGAGTCGATGCCTCACCACACCAATGGCAAGCACAAATAAAGGATTTAAATTAAAATGACGGAGCATACCACTAACTTACGTAAATATATGCACATTTCACATTGCCCGTTTATCCAGTGGCTGGTGAGCTAAATTCAAATTATATAACCATCACGTATAACTACCATGCCAGCTCGAGTGGGCTAATGAGTGATGAGAGTCTGTGTCAGTGCTGCCAAAGAAGCATAACGGCTCCTTTACAAGTCTGTACGGGAGCACAATGCTCCCTTCAGACATGACAAGATCACTGTCAAATCTATCATCCAATTAGCTAAAATTCTATTATAAAGTATACTGCGTACTGATGAATATATAATAAGTGATCAAGGTTGTGGTGAAATTATCACCACTGTATGAGTTGATGTAATTCCCAAGAAAGGAGGACAATGTTAGATTCGTCTAATTAACATAGTGCACACACTAACGCTATATAGCACAAAACAAAACGCAGGATGTTGTGACTGATTTAGAAGCTGTTTCCACATCTCCTCGGCTTAATTTACGTTTAATTATTCACGAGAAAGCCAGCAAGGGTTGTGCAAAAGGTTGGAACATTGCGACGTTTAACAAAATATGCGCACACAGACTGTTTAGATCATAACACAATCAACTGCAAGACACGCAAATGATTGTATTTTAATATTACGTAGCACAGTAAGCTTGGTTTCAGCTGGAACTGAAAAGTACCTGGAAAAAGACGGATCGCCAGGAAATTAATGAGCTGAAATGCGACAAATTGGTTACTGTAACACAACTGTAACACCGGTAGGGCATCGTGTCAGTGGAAATATATCCTAATTATCTGCAGAAAAGTTAGTGAAAGGTTAAGTGAGGTCCTGTGATATCAACTTACAGTTTTTTTTCACTACGCTCAACCGCTTGACTGTCTACTGTAGATTCCCGAAAATTGGTTCCATTACAACAGGGGGATATATATTTGAAGTTAAGACTTTCATCTAGACCGCGGCCGAAGTAGCGTAGATTAAGACTCACAATGCAGTGGATAAAATTTAGTGATACTATTCTAACGACCAGGCCCAGATCGATTAAAACATGAATTTGAAGCCTTTACCCGAACTATATGCCTGCGCTTTAAGGAAGCCTCAATTGTACAAGCTGCTCAGACAGGCTGAGTAGGACAATTAAAGGCAGGTCTGCCTTTGTGATGAGTCCTGAACTGGAAGCCGCACAAACATTCTCCAGCTCCCACACCTCTAAAAGTGCTGAATACCTGCATTTAAAGGGACAACTTGAGACCAGACGAGTTTTACAATTATGATACTTGCATTTTAAGATATATGACTAATATGAGTAATGTTGGGGTACATGTAGAGGCTGTAAAATCACGCAACTATCAGGCCACCCGCGTAAGCTAACTACTAATTTTACTCGACCATACTGACTATACCTCTGTTATTCATTAAGTTGTTCATTTTTTGCTTTTTAGGTGATATGTAAATGATATGTCACCATTTTAAGAAGGTGCCAGCATAATTTACCCGCACTAGAAACCCAAAGCAATTTCGTAACCACTTGCACTACAATGAACGGCTAAATTAGTCCGTACAATCCAGTCGCGCCGTTGATCTTGACTCCTGGGTATTATGTTATTTTGTGGTATGCAATGGCTGACACAATGCAACTGTCTGACTAGGACTATGTTCATTTATTGGCTCAGACTTGCTTTGTCTTTTTCCTACTGAATCATAAATCTTATCAGTAGTCAATGACTAGACCTGGGATTATTGTAAATGTAATCATCAACAATGATAACGTCTGGACTTTCGACCAGCTCATAAAATATCAAATTAATTCCCTCTGGAAACCACCAAGTTAGCTCGAAGATGAAAATGTAAGGTAAAACGAACTGAAATGTAAATTAAAAAATAATACATTAGAGCAGTATTAGTTACTGCTATGAAATATGTCAACACTTGTATGTCTGTATTTAAATTAACTTCGAACATTTTCACTGCATATCAGAAATCTTGTGGACATATCTAGATTCAGTGTAGGTAGACTATATAATAGAATATCTATATTCTATATATAGATATTCATTAACGCTTGACGCTTCCCTCTCATCCTTTCTTTTTTCACCACCTGTTAAGTATTCCTATTTGGAAAAGTCACTCATTCTGATCTAAAAGATCATATTTTATAATATAATAATATAGTATCAATATTTAGTGTACATGACCGCCAGACCGCTTGAAGTATCGTCATAATCCAAAAATGCTAACATTATAAATTGAGATCTGGAACGCTAACATAAAAAACCATTAAATAATTGTATTTTGGATTTGGACCAGAAAGAATATATAACAATTTTATTGACACTGTTAGTATAAATGTGTTCTGTGAACCGGTACCAATTTTAATTATCAACTGAGGGAAACAGATTTAATTTGCCGAGCAGCCTTATCGTGGCAAAATTAAATCCGTTTCCCTCGGTTCTATTAATACAAAAGATTATAAAATGATTTTTACCAGTAGCATACTTTAGTTTGCATCTCTCTGTATAGTAGACTGTAGTATAGTACAGTATAGCGAGTGTAGCTATGTCCCAAATCCATTCAGCATTAAGATTTTGTGTGTACATAATATACTGTCTGGGGGCGAGGGTGGGTGTGTGCATACGGAAGATTGAGGAATACTGTTTCAATATATTCATTTCAAACACAAGAAAATCTTTCCTGTTAGATAATTTAGTTTGCCGAGCATGTCCAAACCGGTTAATGCAAAATTGTACATCAATGTACAAATAATGAAATAATATTTGCCAAGATGCATGCTTTAATAAATTTGACCTATTTGACGGCCACTTATTTTTTCTTTCCCTGTAAATAGGTCTCAAACCATGTTCATTCATTTAAAACACAAGAGAATAATTTCTAGAAAACTTTATTTTGCTGAGAAGCCACATTTTTGTGTTTTTACGACGTAAAGTTTAAAATACAGTATAGATGTGACATGAATAATTGAATATTGACACAGAAATCCTGACATAATTCCACTTTCAGAGTCGAGCAGCAAAGAAGAATATAAACTACAGAGATCCAGTATCTGACGCGGAAGATACCGGGTCAGTCACCGCTTCAGAGTTCTCAACTACCACTACATCTACTGTCGTGAAGCCTCCCCCAAAAAGCGTCAAACCTGTATTTTCCCTAAATTCAGAGCTACCAAGTGACACGTTTGATCCTGTGGCAATGCTGGCTGACTTGAACGAATCTTTAGATGAGGATGAGTTGTTTAGGGATGTAAACAATAGAATAGGGAAGACTAGTAACGAACAGTCTCAAAAACTTTGTAACAAAATGGCCAAGGATGAAGTTTTTAATTGCTCATCAAAAAATTCTCAGACGTCCCACAACTCAAAAAATAAACAACTTCAGCAGCAGAACCCACTCACAGACACCAGCGAAGAGATCGCTATGATATCTGCGGAGTACGACGAACTAAACAAACAATCTCCAACCCAGATATCTGCAATCCAAGATGAGGAAGATATAACCTGTATCCCTTCAACTGACAAAGTGGGAATACCTCTTTCCTTCACAACAGACGTCTCTACCCTCACCAGTATGATTAGCAAGGATCCGTCCCCCATCATCAAAACGAACTTTTTTAAACTTCCCACAGACCCGATAAAATCCATCAAACTTAATCTCAGTCCCGAAGTTCGAATGATTTCCCCGGCCGTTTCGGAAGATAATAACACAATTGGTGAGGTGAGCCCTGGTGAGGTGAGCTCTGGTGAGAACTATGCTGGTGATGATCCGGATAGATTTAGTTGGAAAGATGATGTTCTTGTTGATGTTTTTGAAGATCAAATCTTGAAGGAAGCCCAGAAAATGAAGAAAAACCAAAAGAAATATAATTCAAGGAAGATAAGCAAATCAGGTAAAGAAAAGAAGACAGCTCAATCAAAAGAAAACTTTGAACGTCTTGAGAAGCTACAAGAGTCATTTGACCAAATAAATCAATCAACAATTTTTGAAGTTGCTGTCACCAAGGATTCTGACTGTAAACTAATGCTTGTCGAAGAGGAACCTTCTCGAAAGAAAGAAGATAAAGTATGGCTAGAAGGGTCTGATTCTGGGTCATCTTATTCTGCTAAAGATACTGGCATGGATGTTATCATCGGTAAACAGATAACAACCATTGCTCCGCTCCAAGTTACCAATAATGATATATCTGTTCAGTTTAACGAAGTTTCCAATTGCATGGTGACTGAGGCTGACAGCTCTGGTCTCCTCATGGATATAGAGGAATTCAACACTCCGCCTGTAGATACTGTGAGAGCAGAAGAGACAGAGAGTATGTTTTCCAAAATTCTGGAAGAATCGAGACTGGCCGGGAGCATGTTCAAGGCCAATACGCCCTCTAATCTTGTTAGTACACCTACCAAGTGCAAGTTATCTCACATCAGAGAAGCCGAAATTGCGAATGTGTCGCCGTTCCAACAATTTTTGGAGAAGGTCGGTGGAGTGAAGAGTCCAATAAAAGGGAACGACTACTTTTGGGACGGAAAGCAAGACAAACAACCAAAGAGTAGGATGGTTTCCCGAAATGACAGTGGTTTTGAAACTTTGGAACAAATCTCAGCTAATCTTTCTCTCCCATCATTCTCAGCAGCCGAGCAAAAGTTATCAAAACGTCCCAGGCTCACTCCCAGCCAATGTTTCAGTCAGTCATTCTGCGGATCTCCTCCCCAAACCAAACAAAAGAAAACACTGGCCTCTCAAAGTCCAGGAAAACAAGAACTCGAGGAGTACTACAACATGCTTTGTAAGACTCCAGGTAGAGTGTCTCAACAATCTAACGCTTGTTCAAGTCAGCCGCTTTTAGATGATCTCGCTTTAAAGTCACAAGATTATCAGATAGCGGAAATTAGATTGTCACCCTTAGTAGAAGATAGGAGTTCACCTAAACCAACATCAGGTTAGGATTTTGCTTGTATATGTAATTTTTCTGCACAAATAACGGCGACCATTGCGATCGGTGTCACCACCCCCATGGTGACTATTTAAATGTTTGTCTTTTGAAATTTTGTTGATCGCATCCATCATATATAACATCTAGCACGTGTGCACTTTAGAATTTGAAGACTTTTACAATTTCTTCGATTCATCATTCAGCTTGTAGTAATGAAGAGGATCAACTAGACGAATTGAATGATCAGTTATCTCAGAGCAGCAGTTTTGTTATTCCTCCGTTCATGTAAGTCCGTACTCTATTTCTGTAAATTATGATCACTCATTTTGTCTTTATCTTCATTTATCGCAATATTTTAATATGAATTTACACATTTATTAAGATTATGACGTTATCTCCGTAGATATTCCGTCTTTTCGTGATTTCTTACAGAAATTAGATTACGAAATTTCGATTACTCAGGTTAAATACAGAAGGTGGGATGGCGCTTAAAATGCTTCAAAATACCTCTAGACAAATGAAAGAGGTAATCTTGAATTACATATTTACTTTTCAATTTAATCAGACTTGCAATTTTCGTTAAATATCCTTGCAAAGAAATATGATAGTTTCAACCAGGATAACAACTTCTGATGATCTCAATATAAAAACTCTTGTGATGATATATATTTAATCGTAACCAACCTTTCAGAAACAAAGACACAAAAATAAAGATAACATCGACCTGATAACTAAAGATGTTGCCACAACAGCTCAGTGGTTCTTCGACACTCACAAACGCAAACGGTAATTATTGTTAATTATCCCACTTATTTATTCGATTCTATATTATCATGATGATGAAAATCTAAAATATATAGCTACAATGAGCATCTCAAAAACAATATTAATACAATCCTAAAATGTACCATGTAATAATATTATAACCTTAGTATAGTCCTTATATAGATGTACTTAACAAACTTCTTATCAGCCATGTAATCCAGAAAATTGTGCTGATATGCAGCGTTATAGTTTTTTAAGTTTTTTTCTTCCTGTTTGTCATTAATGAACCGCTAAAATGAACCGCTAAAATGAACCGCTGTATCTCAACCAGGAAATCAGTTTTAGTTGAGATAACGGACAAAGTTGAAGCTGAAATCAGTGGTATCGAATCTGATCTCGTGGATATAAAGAAGTAAGTCGAACAGTAAACGTAATGCAGTGGTTTTCCGTCGTTACCCACAGAATAAGAACTGTCCAATGCAGAATATCAATATTTTTGTTAGGATCTCATGATGACTCTACTATGAGCTGTGTTCCTTTCGTCTGTTTCACTCGTAGCCACCCTATCCGTTTATATTTGTGCCAATTTTATAGGGATAGTGCGGATACTGAAAACGTCAGCCGCTGCTAAGTTTTCAAGTGACAAACATCCTCAAACACATTTACAGTGACAGAAAATCAGCGCGCGCCGTAGATTATTGATCGCTGCGCCCGCGCATTATTCCGCCCTTTTGCCCGTTTTGTGACCGAAATAGTTGCCACAAGGAAATCGATGTTTCACCAACAATCTTACCAAAGGGCAAAGACAAACCAAAATGCGAAAAAGCTTAGAACTTGAAAACTGCCAGTGAATAGCGATGGAATCTCTTTAGAAAATTGGAATTGAAATACATTTTCTACAAGTTAATCCGAGTTCCGACTCGATTATATGCTTTTATATTATTAGCTTATAGACAATTAGCCACCTGACTGGGAGTAAACTTGCGTAAGTCAAGTTGTTTTTAATAGCTTGGAGAACATTGACCGCACCGAAGACAGAAGTCTGAAAATGTTTGCTGCATTTTTAATTTCGCTGCAAAAATGCTACGCTCTCACGTGTGCATGGCTGCTAGATTACTTGCGTTACTTGCGTTAACTGTTACGAAACCATTCAATTTCCATTAGCCTCTGTAATTAACATTACCAAATGACAAAACTGTCTCTTGCAGGAAAGAAGAGACAGCTCTGAGGAATATAGCCCTGGCTCATAAAACCCAGCGGGAAGCTCGGATAGTTTTAGAAAATAAGATGAAGTTGCTGAAGCAGAGAGCAAATCTGAAGCTTCCAGTTGATGTAAGTATTCTCGGTTGATTTAACTTAGCAGAGGTATCTTTTTTGTATAGTCATACCCTTCCGAATACGAAGAAAAACATGTAATGTGTGTGATTGCAACCTTTTCCAGGAAATGGAAGGTCTACAAGAGGTCAAGCAGGCTCTCTTCAAACAGCTCCAAGCAAGACAGGCTCAGAATGATAAAGATCAGGTCCAGCAGCAGCGGAAACAGTTGCTGAAACAGGTCAGCCTCCTCGTGATGTCGGAATTTGATTGAGTTAATCAGTCGTATTTGGTTTGGAGACTCGAGATTGAGCTTAGTTTGATGAGAAGCTATCCAATGATATGGGCGTAAATGAGAGCATTATCACTGACTAAAAGAATTCGTGCTGTCGGTATAAGGACACGTTCATTTGAGTTTGAGGATATTGGTAAACAAAAATAATAGCGTTTTTGACAATAGTGGCTTAATTTTGACATCTATTAACCTAGCACGTTCAGAAGTTCTGAACATAAGCCACGTAAGCCATACTCCCATATGCACCGCTCAGAAAGAAAATCTATTGTTGTTAGGCACTATAATGTTTCAAATGTCACATTTTGTGTGACTTAGTTAACTGCAGTTGTCTAATTATCATTCCTTGGTCTGAAATATAGTAAATTAGGTCAATCTAACAATTATGATACAACAGTGGTTAATGGGCACGGATCGAACGGTTACAAGGCAATATTTGGGTAACTTTGTCACACTCATGATACCATACCTCTATTCTACTGTGAGGTGTCCTAAAAACCCTTTCAACTCATTATTTTATGATTGCTCTACCAAGCATAGCCCTAAAATATGTTATTTTGAATAGTTAGCTAATACAGGCACTTGGTTATTGGGAAATGATGTTAATTCTGTCACAATATATGAATTTTAAAATTTTGGGCGAATAATTTATATCTGATTTTGGTTTGAAAGGCGGGAAAATTTTATATGATGACAATGTAGTTGATGCAAGTTAAGATCAGTTGATGTTTACATTGTCACAAAAATTATACGAAATCGTAAATAGATTAAAAACAATGATTATAGAATGAGATAGTCTCTTATAATAACTCTTATAATAACTGATGTGACAAAGTAAACATGTCTTGCCCCTATTTTGAAGATCTATATTCTATACCTCTATTAGAATATTGTCCAGAACATCAGAGCTTAAGTTTAACAATTTTAGGTTAAATTTGTCAAAGTCACTAAAAATGTGACAAAATTAACTTTTCATGCCCCAACAATTTCAAGATAGTGTGTAAAAATTAGCATAGGCTGCTTTATTACCTATATAAATCAATCCAAACTACAAAAAATATATGTTTATGTGATGACGATTACCTAACACTTATAATAACTGATGTGACAAAGTAAACATGTCTTGCCCCTATTTTGAAGATCTATAACTCTATTAGAATTCAGCATTCTTTCAGAAACGATCGGAAGAATATTGTCCAGAACATAAGAACTCAATTTTTAAAATTTAGATTAATTTGTCAAAGACATTGAAAATGTGACAAAATTAACTTTCCCTGCCCCGCAAGTATCAGATAGTGTGTTAAAATTGGCATAGGATTTATTACAGGTATATTAAAGTATTAATCGATCCAAACTACGAAAAATATCTTTTAATCTGATGACGATTACCTAACTCCTATAATAACTGATGTGACAAAGTAAACATGTCTTGCCCCTATTTTGAAGAACTATACCTCTATTAGAATACTATGTAACTTTATCATCAAAAAAATTTCGATAAACTAGTTATTTTGCCAGCAAGGAGCTAACAGACTACAGAGTTTTAATAATTTTTTGTGACGAAATTACCCTATTTTTGACCATGTAGCGGTAGTTTAATTGTGACACTGTTAACATATTACCACCTGATAATGATTTATGTGACTGGTGCATGGTACTAGCAGTGTTGTTTGATCCATAGTACGTATAATATAAGGGGTTTAAGCTGGTATATCATTATTTGTTCAATTTCACACATGTTCAGATATTATCAAGATTATGTGACAAAGTAAGCTTGGTTGTGCCTTCTGTGTTTTAATTCCTTACGACTATATGATATAATAACAATTCCCAGCACTGCCAGGCCATCAAATAAACTTACACTACTCAACATTGCTTATCAGGGTGCCCTAAACATTCTTCACATATTTCCTTTAATGTGTGACAGAGTAAACCTGAATGCACCATCTAACGAAAAAATTCGTCAAATATGTAGGTAATGGTCATATGTACCCATCCAATCAACTGGACACTCAAAAATTTGGTCAAAAACGGCAGCAAGGGGTCCATATTTACTCCGTCACATGTTTATAGTGTGACAATGTAACCATTTCCGTGCCGGCCGTATTTAAGCGATATCTTATCACCTGATTAAGATATCGTTATGTGACAAAGTTAGCCTAGAGGATGAGACGATTATCCTAACCATCAAGGGTTAAGTAATTTCATAGTGTGACAAAGTCAACTACACTGTGCCTTTTAATAGGGTCACTTATATTTACCAATATCCTCAAACTCAAATGAACGTGTCCATAAAGTATAATCCACAATTTGTGAAGTTTTGTGTAATTTTTAGATTTATACTAATTTTCATTTTTATTTTAACTTCAAACTGATTTTTGAATTACAATGAGTCGTATTTATTTCATGCAAGTTTGACCGTGATATACTATTTCATTGTATTTGTTGCAAAAGAGTGAAAAGAGTAGTAATTTTTATTTGTTAATAATGTTTCGAATTTGTCAATTTTGTACATATTCAGTGATTTTTCTAGCAAGGCTACAATTTTTATACGTTATTATAAGAGCTTTGTTGTAAACAAATAATTCAGAGGATCTCTATCAATTGAATTGTTTATTTTTGATACATTTAATATCAATACTTACAAAATGACAGAAATTGTTAAAAATTTAAAGAAAAGTGTGCCTGGTTTCAACAAGGATTTAAAGAAATAAATTGTTAATACGTCATGTCTGAAATATAAGTGCGTAAATAGTTTCTCGAAATCATGATAATTTAATCACCCAGGCGGAATTATTATCAAACGTACGAGCGTCTAAAATACCCAAGCAAATACCTTACGGGCATAATATATTGTGTACGAACGGAATTAGCTCAAGAAATGATAACTTCCTTTCTCTCTTTGAAATAACAACAATAAAAATCAGTGAGTCTAAAATCGGTCACATAAGTAATCAATGGTTTTCAGAATGATCATTAGGTACATATTTTCTGTGGATAAATAATCGATTCTCGCTACGGGACTCATAAAATTAGCGGGACTCATAAAATTAGCTCATAAATTCCTAAAGAGGTAAGGAGAGCACGAAATCCTCAAAACAGGGATTTTCGAAGGGGAATCATAATTGTTGAAGAAAATCAAACACAAATAAAAAATAAATGATTGTCGTCTGTGCTAATTTGAACACTCCTCTTAATTCACACCTATAGATGTCCATATTCATCTAAACAGTAACACTATCTCGTCACTGGATTGTTCTTCCGCGGAATTTCAACTTTCCGCAACACTTACACAACATGTCTCAATCCTTGTTAAATTCCAATGAAATAGCAAATTCTGTGTGCTCTGCACAAGTCGTTATGATAATTCACCTAAACTGTTACCATGACCACTAAACACCGGTTGCCATGACAGCCGACACTGGCAGGGTGATGACCTCTTCCCAGTGCGACCTGTTATTGTCTATTAGCCTGCAAATGTCTCGGGTGAATGATGTATCGCAGAAGTCTGCCCACAGAGTGAATAAGGGTTCGGCGATGTAGTCTATGAAGCCGGTGAGAGCTTTAGAAGGAACGCACTGGTCTCTATCGAACATTTCTATAACGTCGAACATCATTTTCTTCTCCTCATCTCCCTGTCTCCAGAACTCCTCCAGAACTAGTTTACCCCACTGCACACACGTGGACCACGGTCTGGCGGTGTTGCTGAGGGGGTCAGAGTGTCAATAATCGTTATTTGTTAGGTTAACACAAGTATTCGATCATGGCAAATTAACAGCAATTTTACAATCGTTAACATGAACGAGGCGAGTTGAAAAGCGAAACTCTTAAGTAACAACCTACAAATCTCAAACTCTTACCATAAATCAGAACACTTCATGGCGAGTCTCAGTACCACTTTTCTATGTTCCGCATTCTCAGGATCGTATCCACCCACCATTAGGGCCTTCATGTTGTTCACATACTTTTGGTGCTGAGCCATGTCTGTGGCCATGATCATGTCGTCGACTAGACGCAGTATGTCATCCCTGAAACAAATACCTTGATTAATTTTCTGTGGTGCCTTGTCAGAGAGTATATTTAACACGTGACTCGTTATGAGACGCGGCTTGTCAAATTAGTTTTAAGCTGTCAAGTGGGTAAGACGAGTGCTCTATATATTACTGTAAACGAGTGTCTAGGAGATGACGGTGTGTGACTCAGATTTTTGAATTCTGTCTAATCATCTAGTTTAGCTCATGCCGGGACGAGTGCTCAAACACCACAACTTGAAATTGGACATTAAATCAAATTTGATTTGACATGAATAATGCGTGTCAGGGAAATTTTCGTTGATTTATGACATCTTTGAATTTAATTTACCAAGGCCTAAATTGAAAGCTGGTGACTGGTGTCACCAAGGATAATTAAAAAGGGTTTCCCTAACGAAAGCCGTCGTACAATTTGATTTTGACATCTTAATTATGTCAACGTCACAAATTGATGTAGTCATATTCTTTTCAGATGAATAAAGTCTTTTGAAGTGACCCAGATTTTTGCGTATAAATTTCATTGCCCTACCATAAAATAAAAATATTATGGAAAATATGGTAGTCCAATTATAAATCTGCTACTCACTGGTCATTAAGAGATAGATGGGAGATGATGCCGCTTTCCTTTATAAGAGATTTAGCTACTTTTGAGTGATGTTGTTCCAATAGAGATGTGTTCTGAAAAATAATGAGCGTTATCAATTTTGGGGCAAGAGTAATCCGTCCAAATTATAACGGTTACAGTTAAACTGCTTGAGAGATATGATTATAATATTCCTACAAATGTTCTTTAATAAACTTACCCCATTGATTTTCATGAGATGACTGGCAGTTTTTATCAAGAAGTTCTGATTGACTCCGGGATGGTTAACATCGTGAGCTAGAGCAGCCAGGATGCTGGCCAGCAGCTCCTTGGGTTTGAAGGATTCGATAGATCTGAGGTTGGACAGTAAACAGTGAAGGGCTTGAGCTACGTCTGCGGCGTGGGTTGCGTTGTGGAACGGGTTCTCTGGTTCGTAGTGCTGTTCTAACAGGTCTGAGATAGGGTTGGTGTTAGTTTTATGTGTAGCACACTGTTTTTGTGTATTATGTGGCGTTCTGAGTGTCATGGTGTGTGATAATTGTGACTCTGAGAACGTTCAGAAAGTTTCTGTGTTTTATTTCCTGTTATTTCGATATGACGAAATAATTAAATTTCCGATAAGAGATTGACTTTGAAAAAGCTAACTTGAAAGATAAGCTCATTTGGTGAATTATAACCGTGAAATTGAGTTTGTGACACTAAAATGGGGAATCAAATTAGATTTTCAGATGGGGTCAACAGTATATTATGTAGCACACTTTTCTCGAAAGCTCGAAAAACAGAAAATACGCCTGTTATCAGCAATTCATGACTTTGCTAGAATAACCGGCCTAAATCCAAAATTAAATCTTATAGAAAGATATTCTACTCACTTAGAAATTTCAAGACTGACATAACATCAAGGTTAAATTCTTCGAATAGGTCGTGTTTTATCAGGAGCTGGAATCCAATGTAAAACAGGCATCTTCCTTTCGTTATTCTGGCTATGGAAAGTGTGTCGAAGTCCCAGAAACCAATTCTGTTGAGTTGACTCTGAAAAGGTGGATAAGTTAGTAAAACTATTCCAACTATTCCAACTTTTCGGAACATTAAATATAAAAGCATTAATATGAACTTCCTAGTTCCCATAATACTCATGTTCAATTCATAACAAGCCACCCAGTAAATAAACTATACATATAGTTACTAGGAATATACAATAGGTGTTAAGAAGTGAAGAATTCAGCTGAAACTAACCAGGTTAAACCTAACAAGCCTATTATCTAATAATTGTTGATTATTTGGACCCAGATTCAGTCGCCTAGCTCCGCGCGCGCGCTGCTTTCAAAGCGTCAATGTGAGTGGGAAATTTTGTGCTTTACATTAAAATAATGAAATAATCGCCTATCCATCACTTAAAATCTATGAATCATAAGAGGCCAGAAGCGAAATCTGTTTCTGCGAAATTTGTCTCTTCGTGACGCATTTGAAGGGATTCAATAAAGTTAGTGACCAACATTTAGGACCTTTTGTACCATGAATAATCAATGTGATATTGCTAACGACATTACATCATTATTGATGATTTAATAATCATGAGGGCCGCAAAGTGTTCCAGAGGGTAAAATTAAAGTGAAAAAGCCTGAGATTTTAGTATAGTAGATATTAACGTAAGTCTGTAACATTCTCAAACTAGGTAACCAGGGCGTCGGACCGCCAGAATACCGGATTAAATTTGTAATCTAGTCTGAGACATCGCATCGAATTCTAGCAAAATTATAGATTAAATTTTAAATAGCCCAAGAGCGCCATTTCTAAGAGAAATAAGAAAAATACCTTCATTTTTTGATAAACTAGTCGGATGACAGCATCTTAACTACCATCTTAAATAGCTCTTTTTATTGGGGAGACTAATTTGATATATCGTCCCAAAATAGCATTCACAGCACCAAAGCTCTCAAAATGGTCCCCGATTATTTAAGCTTAACCAATTTAAGCTTAACCAATTTAAGATATAGCTAATACGTTCTGACTGAATACTAACGTCTAGCTTCCACTGCACACTACAGCTGCCACTCTCAATTTTACGAAATATGCGATAAAATTTACTGCTCAGTTGAATTTATCTAAAAGAAGTCTTACAATAATGCCAAAATTCAATGAATATCCAACTTGTAATTTTGGCTGCCAGCCGTGATCTAAGCCATTAAGACTTATTCACTTCAGCAAACTTTGTGTGAAAAATAGGATACAAATTTTGATAATATGGATAATTCAAACATTGCAAATTTTACGGCAATTTTCACGAGATGGGAGGCATGAAGGTGGGGTTAGTGGCAGCACCCGATCAGCACAACAGCGTGTCAACACTCCTCGACACAACTATCAACAGCACTATTCCTTGATTGGTTCACAAAAACCACGTGACAAGACATCTACAAGGTGATTGGTCATGACTTACCCATTCCACTAGACCATCGTTGCAGAGTCGGTGTCGGGTAACGGTGGGTGCTGACATTTTGCGTTTGAAGCGCCCCGCGTAAGCCCCCATGCTCGGGTCCGCCGCACTGCTCTCTGTAGACTGCATCCTTCTTAGATCTACAAGGAGAAGTAACGACGTTAAACATGACAAATAACAAAGTTAAAACACATTTGAAAGACAAGCTGATACATAAGAAGAATATTGATTTAGTGTTGTAACGTGTTGTAACGTGTTGTAACGTGTTGTAACGTGTTGTAACGTGGCACACATCTCCAAGTTACGTGTTATTATTATGGCAGTATCTGTTTGGATATCTAGCACTGGTCAATAACACACAGCGCTGTGTTTCTCCAGATCTACTGCTAACTATATTAACTACTATCGTGTCCAGGACGGAATAACATGGACAGCTTCCGAGGAAATACTTGAAATTCCACAGAGAAATAACTCAAAATGCACCACGTACAACACTAGAATCAGGAGGTTAATTCAAGGAAGGAAAAAAACGGAGTAAACACAAAGCTAATGGTATGCGGATGTGGTGGCGAGAATAAAGTAATAGCAGTACACTTTGCAAATCTGCTAAGTGCTAATGAACCGATCTACGGGGAGAGCAACAGGACTCAATTCTTAGTATTTGAGCGCATATTGGTGGTCGTATAGTCAGGATTCAGGAATAATCGTATAGTTGTATAGTCGATTTTGTTAAGCTATAATTTAAGAGATCGTAATATTGTAAAATCGTAAAACTACGTCAGTAGGCAGTACTTAAATACCAATCAATTACTCTTTTGATAACTTTCTTGCGTTGGTGCTAGTTTTGTAGTTTTAAAAGGTGTGGTATCATTAATACGGAGTTTTTTCTGTAGACTAGCTATGCAAAAATCCTCGATTGTAAATAATGGCATTGATAGTGACAGGGTCTAATCGACACTAAAGTACCTGTTAACCACGTGATAATGTAAAGCAAGGAATGTAAACGGAGAACAACAACTTTTTGGTTTAATTTCAAACGAGAAGTGTGAAGATAAGCTGTGTAAGCAAAAAATTGACGAAACATGAAACGAGAACGTTACTTTTCACATTTGCTTCCTGCTTATAAGTGACAAAGAATTGCGTTCCTACTACAACAAAACAAGTACAGTGACTGAAGTCTTTAACAAAAGAATAAAATAAATTCCCTAATATCAGTATTGCAGGATATCTGATCCTACCGGAAACGATAACACAATTTCAGGAAATACGTCCTCCGACTCAAAAGCAGATTACATTAAGGTAAAAATTTGAGACACAGCAAAAAACCAGCTGTGATAATGATGTCAAAGGGTGAAATGGTTATACAGTTATACTGATAAGGCCTATTTAAATACGATTATCGTTAAATCATTGGCACGTACAGTAAAATTTGTCATAGTCTTAAATAAGGTATGATACATTATTATCGAGATTATAATCCGAGTGCAGGCAACAAATTAAGCGGCAGATAAGGTGAAACTTGATATTCCTGGGAGAAGAGGCCAGTAGTGGCAGTCTGTCGGTACTGCTAACCACACAGATCACAAGGGATGGTAACCACATTAGTAACCACATTAGTAACCACATTAGTAACCACATTATAATACCTGTGTCACGTGACTTCAGACACAAAAAAAAAAGAAGTTTGCAGGAAGTAAAGGAGAGGAGGAGGAGGACGTGTGCATGTTGAAACTGTGAAACTATAACACTGGTATGTTGGGAGAGAGAGAGATCGTGTTTAAATAGGAGAAGAGGGTCGGATGAAATTGAGCAAGAGCGTGACGTCATATGAAGCACTGACGATCTGTGACGAAACAGCAACCTATTACCCAAGAAGAGCAAGGTATTTTGATTATGCCAACACATGTGGCATTTTGATTAAATAGTTATGCACATTCTGCGGAATTATTGAGCAACCACACAATCCACAAACATGAAACCAGGAAATGAATGATTAAGTATAGGGTTGTAAACAAGGACCAATTTGGCCAGGAATCAGGGTGGGCCGGAGAGGAATTTCAACAGATGAATTTTATTATAATAATAGGATTCATAAAAATAAATTCCACAATGGTTCAAGAAGGGCAGGGCAGGACTGTGTGTGGTGTGAGGGGTTTTAATCAGAGTGGGCCGGAGAGGAATTTCAACAGATGAATCATAAAAATAAATTCCACGATGGATGGTTCGAGAAGGGCTTGAAAAGGGCAGGACTGTGGTTTTACTTGACACTTTCTGGAAGGAGCTCACCAAAACGATTTTTCATTTTAAGCGTTATGAAATTTGAATGAGGAGGATGCAAGAGGAACATCGTGTAAAAATGACTGGAATGTCTGTGATCTATCCTCTGAATTAATGCTATAAATGCAAACAAAACAGGACGTAGTTTTTATCGAAATTCACGCCTTATGATCATATAATTCACATGTTATTACAAACCTCAAAAGCACAATAATTGATAAAGGAGGGTCAAAAATTAGGTCATCATAAAAGAACATAAGCCGAGAGATAACATTAGCCGAGAGATAAGGATGAAAACAAAACCGAAGTCCACGCCCGTCGCTCAAATTAAATGATGCAATTGCCACATGATAGACCACATGAAAATAAAACTGAATCTACGCCATGCCTTACTCGCTGTTTTATATAAAACATCGAAACACAAAAGAACAGTTGACGCATTCATCAAAAATGACGCAAACTCCAAGAAATGTCGTCATAACATTGACCGCGAGAAAAGTAACAGAAAGCAAAACCTCAGCCTAGCCCACAAGCCGCCAATGCTGGTGCAAACAAATGAACACCACATGAAAATCAATATTATATATTAGACTGTAGCTGGTGGTAGATATGACTAGGTATGACGCGATATCATGGTACACTATTATAGATAGTACAGGAAGACTTATAAGGTGTTTAGTTCACAGACTACCACTAGTATAATGATGTGTCATGATGACTGTATAACAGTACATATTGTACCATTTCTATCTGTGGTTATCAAAGAGAATACCGGATATACGTCACAAAGATCCTCCCTCCCTCCCCCTCGCCCTCCCCCTCGCCCAATAAACGGATACGATATATCAGTATCAATTCGAGAACAGAGAAGAGAAACCACGTGTGAGAGGAAACCGCCTTGGAAAGGAAACCATCTTCCTGATAATTACATCTGCATACTATATCTGCTTACTATATATTATAGAGACAGAGTATTTCCGATATACATCCCATATGTATCGCATGAGTTCAAAAGAAGTTCCTCAAGCACGCAGTCAAAACATATCTCTATAATATGTATATTATCGCTTTATTATCTCCTCTTTGCATAACACCTGCACGACAAAGATCTTTTGTCAGTCTGGCAGCGATTCTTACAAAACCTTGCTTAAATAGTTTAATGGCACAACGCTCCCGCAACCAACACGACGTCAATAAACCATTGTGAATTAAGCATTTATTAGAATCTCCCACTTGTTCGTGTCATTTAAATTTCCTTTCCGTTTTTAATCCCACTTTTTGATCCTAACTCGATTGCAAGGCCTAACTGCAGACGTATGCGACCGATTACATGTGGATTCTTTGTTGACACTTTCTTTGTTTCGTATTTTAAAGTTTTAATGGCCACTTTAGATTGTACGGTTAACCTTACATACCTTGAATATTTGACGATCGAGATCCATTACAAGTTATTGAGCTACAATTATAATATACCCTTGCAACATACCCTGCAACTGTAAGAGCAACCTTCGTGCGTCACTTATATTACAAGGTTCAGAAAAACATTAAGATGTGAGAGTACTAATGGAACATTAGGAGTACTAATGGATTCTCCAGGGTCAGTGGACCGTAGCAAGACGTTACTAGCGACAATAGTAGTATTATAACGGCTATCTTAGAGGAGACTACGATCTTACCCCACGAACAAACATTGGAACGACGACTATTTAGAATAGCGACGACATAACCCGTCATTCGTCAAGAGAGAAAGATAGAGAATTTGACAAGGCTCTCACGTACAAGCAAGTGTAAATGGCACAGACACTCAAATAACACCACCATGCAACCAAGCAGGAAGTAATTACCAGTCACACTCACATGCGAACTCTTGATGACTTGTCACACACCGCCAGTCATGTGTGTGTGTATGTGTGTGCGTGTGTGAAGTTACACTTTATCTACACACATACACACATACTGCACACAGTACACAGACAGGGTGTAGACATTCAGCTTACATTCGTGTGTAGACGCGTGCTGACAGTGCAATGACAGAACACTACCGACACACTCACACACACACACACACACACACTCACACACACACACAATGTACGAATGTTGTACAGTGTACACAGAGTACGCACATGTTGTACGATTGTTGTACATGCAATATGTTGTACGAATGTTGAAGTATACATGTTGTGCGAATGTTGAACTATACATGCAACAAAAAAGTGTGAGCTTTCATTACATGCAAGCTATTCATTATCGTCCCGTGTAACTAATATTCAACGGCTTTTAGCGGGGCTCAAGCGATATAAATATGAGGGGTAAACATGTAATGTAGGGCTCAGATACTCGTCAATATTGCGCTGAAATTAAATTATATTCGATACTAATCCAATTTGGACTGACTCTTGTAAAATGTTCGTTTATTAAGGACACATACTAGAATTTTGAAGAACATGACTTTTATTTAATATCTGTAGTGTTACGTAGACAGTTTTAATGACTCATTACATGTATATTTGCAAAACGAAAGAATAAAGGGTATTCCGAGTGATGATGTTGTTCACAGCTTTGAGGAATTTGGGTAAATGCTGAAATTTGATTAAAAATGTCGTCATAAAAGAAAATAACAATGCCTTGAGATTTGAGGAAGACAGCTGTTATAATATTAGAGAGGAACACCTACTCACTGTAATATAACGAAAAATAGAGGCCTCAACAGGACTTAAGTCCATATGGCAAGGCTCGAGACAGAGCAAATTAATCATACGGAAAGAAAAAAAACGGTTCATTTAACGTCATAAAAGACAGAGGCTGCAAACCATTTTTGTTTTCTGCATCACAGAAGTTGACACGAAGCTTTTTCATTAAA